ACGATCCTAAAAGCTCACCCTGAGCAGTTGATGTTGATGTTGAATTGTTAATTCAAAATGCAATTTCTCCACACAGATAAATGTATAACATGTATCTATATAATATCACTGAATTTTACAATAATCTAAGTGAAATGTCAGACAGATGTTACTTTATAATTATATTACAATCGATTTTGATCCTGGTTTTGTACATGATGAACGTATGTATATATTTGCTTTGTCTACCATTAAATGACTCAGGTCCAAATTCAGTTAAGTACAAAAATCGGCTGGACGGACAACATGGATTTTGCCATTTCGATATCAACCTTCTTAATAATTATCAAGGGGTGATAATTATCAAAATATTTAAAATATAAATGCTTATGGGCTATAATATAGTAACAGAATAAATAATTACTGTTCCAGTATTTGCTCTGTCTACCATTAAAGGACTGGTCCCAATTAAGTTTTGATAATTATAAAAATATTGATGGAGCTATAATATATATGAACCCCGTCACGACAAAACCAACATAATGCATTTGCGACCAGCATGAATCCAGACCAGCCTGCGCATCAGCACAGTCTGATCAGGATCCATGCTGTTCGCTTACAAACCCTATTACAAGTAGAGAAACTGATAGCGAACAGCATGGATCCTGATCAGACTGTGCTGATGCGCAGGCTGGTCTGGATCCATGCTGGTCGCAAACGCATTATGTTGGTTTTGTCATGACGCAGCTGAATTATATTAACTTCTATGTTTTATGTGATTTATTCATCAACAAAAGGTGATGTTGATTTGTTAATTTAAAGCGAATTTCTCCACACAGATAAATGTATAACATGTATCTATATAATATCACTGAATTTTACAATAATCTATATGAAATGTTAAGCAGATGTTACTTTATAATTATATTACAATAGATTTTGATCCTAGTTTTGTACTCCAGGTCAATTGTAACAAAGTTTGCAGCTTCCTACATGTAAATATTAGTCCTAAGTTTATTTCTTACAATGTTTTCAAAGGGAACAATGCTGTGCCAAAATAAATGGGCTCAAGAAATACATTATGAATTTTCAACAACAGCTGCAATATTATCAAAGTTTTGTAATCAGATTTATAAATGTATCATGATTATTTTTTTCTGTAAGGATAACAACACGGAAATGGAAGCCAGAGACACTTCACACACTGACTTGTGTAGCTTTTTGTATTTCTCAACAACATGATGATAATAGTGTTGTTTATTTTGCAAAAGATTATCAAATTAAAATCCTTGCTTTTTCTTTTCCTCTAAATACTGTATTCCTAGAAATGTTCGCGGATACAATATTTCGCGTTTTTCACAACGTCGGCAGTTTCGCGGAGACAAACTTACGCGGATATGTACTAACCGCGAATTCCGCGAATGTTAAGTCGCTACGGCCTAAATTACAGTTTTCGGAGGTAACGTTTTTGATGCATGACCTTGCCTGTTGGGTGCTTTTAATTATTTTATTTTTTTTGACAATTCGATCCTAAAGCGCAACGTTACTCGATACATTTTCATCTATTGACTGGTCGAACAAGGACGGTTGTTTCGTGAACACTTTCATATTTCCTTACCTTTTTCATTATGTTATTAAGTAAGATTTAGTCAGACCCGTTAGCTTTTATTCTCATTTGAATCATAACTGACTTTATCTCCAAAATGTTGATACGTATTTTTTTTACACATTATCGGACTGTACATCGCTTTTATTATAACAACATAACAGCTCAGTGTAGCACTTGATCGCTATTGTACTTTTAACAAAAGATTACACCTACTCCAAGCAAATGAAATCCAAGTCATTCGATGTTTGCAAACTGTAAATGCGTTTGTCAACGCCGTGACTAGCAAATAACGTCAATAAGCAAGTTAATTACTAATAACTGATATTTTCTTTTTCAGCGTGAAAACTAGTATTAATAACATACATAAATAATTCTTTACACATTTCTCTAACACCTGTATTTATATGTTGTTTTGTGTAAGTAGATTATAATAAATATTCTGCACTTTTTATGCTATATTTTGTTGAAGCTAGAAATGTTCGCGGATTTGTTATAAGTGACATATTCGCGGCTATAAAGATTCGCGGAATAATGCCTACTGCGAAAACCGCTTACTTAAAATGCGCGAAATCTTTTCTAGGAATACAGTATACATTTTTTTATTTGATCTTGGCAGTTGTCCACTTTTAACTCAAATTCCTGGTCAATTAATGAGTAATTAATAATTTCTTTGCTAGTAACCAACTACTTATCTCACAAGATTTCTGAATCAGCGTTAAGAAACAAATAACCATTAGACTCAATGCCATGAGAACAGTTGTCCCAGAGAAAACCTGCCTCATCCATGGATCACACTATTGACTCTTGGATACAAATTTGATCCTCTTCCTTATAATTTGAGCTATCGGGGGCAAACTATATAGAGGATATTTGTTTGTTTGTGTGTAAGATGAAATTTTATTTCATCGAGTGGGCTTTAAAAACAGTATTCTCATGAGTGGCGTACGAGTGAGAATACTGTTTTTAAAGTTCACGAGATGAAATAAAATTACATCTTACACAACAAACAAACAAATTTTCTTTTTATTTTATGCTAAAAAACAAGTTTAAACGAAATTTCCATAATATTAACATAAATATTAAAATCTGTTTCCCCATTGAGAGCCCCATTTCGTGCGAATTTCTCATTAAAAACAAGAAGTCTTGAGCTGAAAAATAAGTCTGACAATCAACATTAAATGACAGTGATATTATTTATTTTGTTTAAAAAATATGAATGATCGCTTGTTTTAATAATAAAAACAAACAATTCGTGTAGGAGAAAATTCCAACCATCCATCCATATTTCTGTTACTTACTGCGAATTTATATTAGACCTGGCTTTGTTAAATGTAAGCGGCAGTCATTTTTTAAAGTTGTGTATTTCACGGGAGGAAAATAATTGTGTTTGATTCAGAGGGATATCATTTGGAATTGTTAGTCATACACCTTTTTAAAAGAAAGAAAACATATTTGAGGATTGAAACAGACAAAAAATAAGTGTTGACAGATGTGAAAACATGAAAAAAGCAGCTATGAAAATGGAAGACTTGGAACTTGCTCGAAAAGCTGGGTAGTTTACTTGTTCTACGAGCTGTAGCTGTCATTGCTTTTCAATTTTTCATAAAGCATACGGCAGTTATTACTCGTAGTATACTTTAATATGCCCAAATGTCACTAAGAGCAGTTTGCATGTGGAAGGAATGTTTTTTTCAGACTGTAAAAATGAAACAAAAAATTTAGAGACGAAATTTGGTGATTGGAATTTGAATGAATAGAAGTAAGTTTTCTTCTTTTTATTACTTTTGACGTTTAAGGTATTTATCAATTTCAGCTTTGCTTTTTCTTTAAACAGCCTGACATTGTCAGAATTGTCAGCAAAAATAAAATTGAGGTACCACATGGGGAAAATCTTAAAAAAGTAGTTTCGTCATTGAAAAAAGTGAAATTATATTTTGATAATTTTCACTGTGAAATTACCAAATATAATTTTCACGGATAAATCAGTAATCCACTGAAAAGCATAAAATAAACTTATTTAAACTTCAAATCAAATGTTATTCTCAGATTAAATGTAGACTCCCAAAACAATTCAAAATATACTAAATAAATTGTATACTCTATTATATATGAATATTTCATCATTTTCTCTATAAAATACAATTTGATTTGAAGATGGCTAAAAAACCTATTATGCCAGATGTTAGCATTTTGTACATTGTATCTGGGAAACCAATGTGTATGTATGAAATCAATATAAATGAGATGATAATATAAAAACAAGGTTGATATTGCCAGCATTTGATTGACATGTGATCATTGACTAGATCACTGATAAGCGGCATATGGCCATATGAAAGGCAAAAGAAACATTTTTTGCTAATGTAACAGTAATATTCACAAAAAGCTAGAAATTCAAGAGTTTTATCAACAGATTGCATTCAAATCAAATGATGATATCTATAATATTCACCTAACTTTGGATGAAATATCTAATGCTAAGTTAAATGATTACAGTAAGGTATCTAATAAACCTAAGGTTGGAATGATGAAATATCTACCTATCTTGAGGCATAAAATCATGAGCTAAGCCATATACCGTAAAATTCCTATTAAACGCCCCCGGGGCTAAACATTTTCCAAAAGGGGGGCTATTAATTACATGTATTACAACACGTTTTTCATAAATCAATGACCCCCTGGGGCGGGGACAATTTTGACCCCAGGGCTTTTATTTTAACAAACTTGGTAGACACTCATTAGAAGATGTTTCATGCCAAATATCTAAGCTCTAGCTCTTAGGATTTTTTAAAAGAAGATATTTAAAGTTTTTTCTTTCGGTTGCCATGGCAACCAGAGTTCTGCATGGAATTAAATTCTTTGAACAATTTTTAAAGGTGACCACCAAAGGAACATTCCTGTGAAGTTTGGATGAAATTGGCTTAGTGGTTTATGAGGAGATGTCATTTAAAGTAAAAGTTTACGGACGGACGGCGGACGAAAAGCGATCACAAAAGCTCACCCTGTCACTTTGTGACAGGTGAGCTAAAAAGCTCTATGTTCTTACTGCTTAATAAGATATTCACAATCTTAAGTAAAAAATTCACAATTTGTTATGAAACGATGCTTTTTTTCACAATTTTTATGTTACCAGACCCATTGCCATTCACAATTCTGGGAAAAAAATCGCTGGATTACAAAGTAATCATGTAATCGATTAAAAAGTCAACGATTACAATTAATGACTACCCCAGGTCTGTCCCTGACTCAATGAATTTGGCCAATTATTTCTGTTACATTAGATTCAATGTGTAGTAAGCTCACAATATTAGATTATTGACTTTTCCTTCTCTAATCTATTTATGTGATAATGTCTTTCTATGGAAACTGAAGCTTTTTTCATAAGAAAAATTTGACAGGTTGAATGAATTACCTGAGGGTGATGCTCCAGCACTACTGGGACCTGCTCCACCAAATGCTTTCCTAGTTGAAGTTCCTCCAAGAGCTGGAAATAATACATTTGTTTGATTAAAACTTTACAGAAATACATTGAAATAAACAAGAGCCCTTTTTGTCAGAGTTTGTTTGGATTTTTACGGCACATCAACAAATAACTGGCCATATCGTTCCGGATTTTTGTCAGAGAATAATGCATCAATGTATAAGGCATATGCTTTCTGATACAAAATGTTAAAATGTGAGAGAATTAAATACAAAACCAGAACGTGTTTAGAAGACACAAATGCCCTAACATTCCTCTCTTGTCAGTCTACAGATTGACAACTGCCACAGACAAAGTTAAATCTACTGTACATTGTATATGCTACACACACCCACATGGTTTTCAACCAGTTGTCAGTCAGACTGCAGCTTTTTATATACAGTTACAAGGCTGATTGTTGTATCGTTGTATGTTTGTTTGTTTCATTTTATGCCTTTTCCCAACAGTATTTCAGTCATATAGGCAGGTTGTTTCCTAACCATCATTCCTGGAGAGTTACACCAGTACTAGATTACCTTCCTCCATGCTAAACTACCAAAGCATCTCCCGGGATCGAACCCATGCCCAGGGCCAAAAAACCCTTCTTTGTAGAGGCCGAATAAAGGCTGCTTCCCCAACCAAACTAGCCTCTTTTTTTCACCAGTTCGGTCCTCAAAATTCCCCAGTCTTTTGAAATTTCCCATAGAATTTAGAACAAAATTAAATGATGGTGTTGAATTAAGGTCTTATTAGTATTTCCCAATGCCTTTTGCTTTTCTATTTTAAAGAACTTGTTAAAAGTTTGTTTTAAATATGAGACCCCTTTTCCCGAAGTATGCCAAAATTACACATATTTTCCCCAAGAACAAGGCTGAGACCCCTTCCCCAATAATGGTGTTTTGGCCCTGAACGCCAGAGAGCTAACTGGATTAGAAGTCATCGACACTAATCCCTCGACCACGGAGTTGGTCATCGTTGTATGTTTATCATAATGTCAAGTATAAATAATTTTATAAAATGTTGTTTAAATTCCATTCTCAGTTGTTGGTATTTGATTTCTCCTTCTCTGATTTATCGCGCTATATATTCTCCTTCAGAAAGCCACAGGTTGTTTTGAAAATTGCAAAAAAATCACTGTATAATAACAAAGTCTGATGTACATATATACAGTTTATTTACAAGACTAGTAATAGAATTATAAAATCAAACAAGAGCTGTTGTAGGACAGGGACGCTCAACTATTCGAAAAAGTTGTCACAAGGGTGTTTCATTGAGTATAATAATGCCTATATGAATACATAAAATTGTCCGAAAAGATACAAAGGCTTGTAATAAAAATGTTTTATAGAGTAAATCAATTGATTGCTTGATTATTATGAATGCATAAAATTGTCACAATAAAAGGCAAAAACCCTTCAGTGGTTATGGAGATACCAGCTTTAATACACGCAAAAACTTAACCAAGAATTTCTAAGTCAAAAAGGGGCAAAATTATGGAAAAAAGCAAATCAGAATTTTGGGACTTGTGCCAATCATGTTAGATATCACAGATAACAAGTGTGTAAGTTTCAATCCATTCCCTTCAGTATTTATGGAGATACCAGCTTACACGTAAAAACTAAAACAGGAATTTCTAAGTCAAAAAAGGGGCATAATTCTGCAAAAAAGCAAATCAGAGTTATGGGACTTGTGCCAATCCTGTTAGATAATCACAGAGAACAAGAATGTGAAGTTTCAATCCATTTCCTTCAGTATTTATGGAGTCTCATAACAGCTTACACCCATGAATTTCCAAGTCGAAAAAGGGGCATAATTATGCAAAAAAGTAAATCAAAGAGTAGTTATGGAGATACCAGCTTACAGTATACACGCAAAAACTTAACCACAGGGAAGCCGACAAAATAATGGTGACTGCATTAGCTTGATTATTCTGCTAAAATCCCAAAAAGCATTCTGGAACGGGACGATCCTGCTTCTATTTCACTTTTTAACAAGTTTAGTGGTGTTTTGGTATCATTATACTGCTGGCTCAATAAATGCTTAAAGGGCAAAAACACGATTCTTTTACTGTATAGGTAAGATGCCAAAAAAAACCAAATCATATAGATCTATCATGTTTTGACTGGCCAGAAGATTGTTTTTACAACAGAACTTAAAGGTTTTGAGCCTGCAAACTTTACCTTACCGTAACAGTTGTCTAATGGAATTGAAATGAGATTTCTTTAAAAAAAATCCATGTGGAAATTTTACCAAAACATACTTATGATTGCTAAAGATGGTCCAGTCAAATCAATGTTACTGGAGTTGTCAAGGCCAGCCCGCAAGGTGAAGAAATTTTACACACACATCTGGTAAAGTTGTAAAGGGTTGCGTTACTCTTTAAATAAAGATGTCGTTTAATTATATATTTTCCATTTATTTTGATTCAAATGTCACATACCTTTCCTTGATCCACCAGCGTCGGCTTTTGTTCGTACCATGTTTCTCTTTTTCTTTTCTTCTTTCTCTCCTTTTCCCGCGCTTTTACGGTTACAGCGTGTAAATTTCACGTCGTATTATTTACAATTGTTTATGTGACGTTTACTTCCTCTTTTCTGTCTATCTTATAAAATCTGATGAAATTTTAGTTATATCCAGTTTACTTTAGACAAAACTAAGTTATGGAGCCAATTAGTTTGATAATCTTTGGTGTGATTTTATTGGTGATTTACTTTTTATGGGGAAGGCAGAAGGGGGCCGGGCAGAAGAGACAGTCCACTACATCAGGTAACCAGGGGCAATTTTTTGACCAAAGCAAGATGAAAAATAATTCTGTATATCGGATGTACATGGGAGGTGAGACTTTTGCGATCACAATGTCTTCTCAGAATTTTAACGAGACATGTCTTTTAATTTAAAGTTTTGCCATTGCACTCTATTCAAGTAACAGAACTTAAATGGTCAAAAAAAAATTTGCAGATTGGTAGAGGCTTGTCTAAACTGATGGTGTAGGTAGAGGCTTGTCTAAACTAATCATGGATAGAGGCTTGCCTAAACTGATCGTGGATAGAGGCTTGTCTAAACTGAGCGTATAGGTAGAGGCTTTTCTAATCTGATCATGGATAGAAGCTTGTCTAAACTGAGCGTGTAGGTAGAGGCTTGTCTAAACTGAGCGTGTAGGTAGAGGCTTGCCTAAACTGAGCGTATCGGTAGAGGCTTGCCTAAACTGAGCCTATAGGTAGAGGCTTGTCTAAACTGAGCGTGTAGGTAGAGATTTGTCTAAACTGAGCGTGTAGGTACAGGCTTGCCTTAACTGAGCGTATAGGTAAAGTTCGTCACTTATCACTGCAGACTTAATGCATACAAACATTCATTCTTTCCAAGAACTGTACCTTATTGGAACAACCTACCAGCTAACATCACAACTGTGGACAACCTGGACAGTTTTAAAACTGCTGTCCAGTCTTACGTATTTGTGTAAATTATTAAACATCGTGTATAGTGTACAAACATGTTGGATTTTACTTCACACTACGTTTTCACATTATTTTAACTCGAACGCCTGGTGCCGCACATGGGGGACAGGTTTTAAGCCCACGTTTTATGGAGCACAATTCACATCACCACTCGTCGCTGATGTCTGCACAGCGGATTTACAGACGAATTCATCATAGAAGTAGAAATAGAAGTAGAAGAAGGTATAGGCTTGTCTAAACTGAGCATGTAGGTAGAGGCTTGCCTAAACTGAGCATGTAGTTAGAGGCTTGTCTAAACTGAGTGTGCAGGTAGAGGCTTGCCTAAACTGATCGTGGATAGAAGCTTGTCTAAACTGATCATGGATAGAAGCTTGTCTAAACTGATTGTGGATAGAAGATTGTTTAAACTGAGCATGTAGGTAGAGGCTTGCCAAAACTGATTGTGCAGCTCCTGTAGAGGCTTGTCTAAACTGATCTTGTAGGTAGAGGCTTGTTTAAACTGAGCATGTAGATAGCGGCTTGTCGAAACTGATCATATAGGAAGAGGCTTGCCTAAACTGATTGTGAATAAAGGCTTGTCTAAACTGATCATGGGTAGAGGCTTGCCTAAACTGAGCGTGTAGGTAGAGGCTTGCCTAAACTGAGCGTGTAGGTAGAGGCTTGCCTTAACTGAGCTTATAGGTAGAGGCTTGTCTAAACTGAGCGTGTAGGTAGAGGCTTGCCTAAACTGAGCATGTAGGTAGAGGCTTGTCTAAACTGAGTGTGTAGGTAGAGGCTTGCCTAAACTGATCATGGATAGAAGCTTGTCTAAACTGAGCGTGTAGGTAGAGGCTTGTCTACACTGATCGAGGATAGAGGCTTTCCTAAACTGATAGAGGCTTGTCTAATCTGATCGTGGGTAGAGGTAAACTGATAGAGGCTTGTCTAATCTGATCGTGGGTAGAGGCTTGCCTAAACTGATTGTGGATAGACTCTATCTCTATTAGAGGTTTGCTTAAAACTGATCGTTGATAGAGGCTTGTCTTGACTGAATGTGGGTAGAGGCTTGCCTAAAATGATTGTGGGTTTAAGCTTGCCAAAACTGATAATGGATAGAGGCTTGTACATTGTTTGCCGAAGAAACATTTTAAAGTATGATGATGGTTGTCGGGTTTGAAAGAGTAATTAAATTGGTTACATGGAGTATTGACTTGTTTGTAAGAAAAGTGGATGCAGTTGTGTCAATTAAACTGTATACTATAATAATATGCACATCCTCTGACTGAACTATACATAAATGTTTGCTTATATTTTGAATTATGGTACATGTATATTTCAGGGACACATTCAGGAAAAATATTTGATAAATTTAGCAACATAGAAGATGTTACTGATGCTATTAGAAAAGCTGGTCTGGAATCTAGCAATCTTATATTTGGTAAATGCATAGTTTTTTTTCTATACCCTACTTAAATTATATGTATATTTTTATTGTCTTAAAGGTTTAAAATTATTCTGGATGAAATGAAATTCATGACTCAACATTTTTTACAAGCAGAAAACAGGGGCGTCCGTGGCCGAGTGGTTTAGGTTGTTGACTTCAAACCACTTGCCCCTCACCGGTGTGGGTTCGAATCCCTACAGGGACTTTGGATTCTTTCATGTGAGGAAGCTAGCCAGTTAGTTTATGGAACGTCATATGGTTCTACTCGGGTGCCCTTTCGTGCCTGAAATAATGCATGGAAGGGCACCTGAGGTCTTCCTCTACCAAAAAAGCTGGAACATGGCCAAATGACCTATACTGTGTCGATGTGACGTAAAACCCAATCAAACAAACAAACAAACAGAAAACATTTAAGTATTTAAGATAAATGCTCCCATTTCACCCTTATCTCACTAGTTTTTTTATCTACATAAATGAGATATGTTTTGTACCTCCACTTGACTTAGAGTGGGGGGGATATAGATTTTCTGTCAGACTATCTGTACATAAAGTGACAAATCAGTGTAATGTGGGGGGATTACTGTATTTTTCCATTTCACAGATTTCTAGTTTGAAGAGGAATAATCTTTTTCGCTATTTTCATATAAGTTCTTTTTTTTCTGACAGGTATAGATTTTACAGCCAGTAATGTACATCAGGGGATAAAGACAAATGGTGGCAGGTCCCTACATCATATAGATATGCTGAATCCAAATCCTTATCAGAGGGTAATGCCTAGCATAAGTATATAATAACCAAATTATTATTGTGACAAATAATGGTATATAAAGTCTTTGCATTACACCATGTTTCTGTATACCATTTGTTTCCATATGCTAGGGGGCGTGAGGGCTGTTGCACTAGTTCAATATCCCTCATGTCTGCAATTTTCATGTAATTTTTCTGTTTTTAGCTCACCTGTCACAAAGTGACAGGGTGGGCTTTTGTGATCGCTTTTTGTCCGGCGTCTGTCCGTCGTCCGTAAACTTTTACTTTAAATGACATCTCCTCATAAACCACTAAGCCAATCTCATCCAAACTTCACAGGAATGTTCCTTTGGTGGTCACCTTTGAAAAGTGTTGAAAGAATTTAATTATATGCAGAACTCTGGTTGCCATGGCAACCAAAAGAAAAAACTTTAAATATCTTCTTCTAAAAATCAAAAGAGCTAGAGCTGAGATATTTGGCATGAAACATCTTCTAGTGAGTGTCTACCAAGTTTGTTCAAATAAAAGCCCTGGGGTCAAAATTGGCCCCGCCCCAGGGGGTCATTGATTTTTCCTTTTTGCATATAGTAAAAACTTAAAAAATCTTCTTTTAAAGAACCCAAAGAGCTAGAGCTGAGATATTTAGCATGAAACATCTTCTAATGGGTGTCTACCAAGTTTGTTCAAATAAAAGCCCTGGAGTCAAAATTGGCCCCGCTCCAGGGGGTCATTGATTTTCCCTATATGCATATAGTAAAAACTTGAAAAATCTTCTTTTAAAGAACCCAAAGAGCTAGAGCTAAGATATTTAGCATGAAACATGTTCTAATGGATGTCTACCAAATTTGTTCAAATAAGAGCCCTGGGATCAAAATTGGCCCAGCCCTTATATGTGTATAGCAAAAACTTAAAAAATCTTCTTTGAAAAAAACCAAATAGCTAGAGTTTAGATACTAAGCATGAAACATCTTCTAGTGAGTGTCTACCAAGTTTGTTCAAATAAAAGCCCTGGGGTCAAAATTGGCCCCGCCCCGGGGTCATTTATTTTCTTTATATGTGTATTACAAAAACTTATAATATCTTCTTTGAAAAAACTCAAATAGCTAGAGTTTAGATATAAAGCACAAAACATCTTCTAGTGAGTGTCTACAAAGTTTGTTCAAATAAAAGCCCTGGGGTTAAAATTGGCCCCGCCCCGGGGAACATTGATTTTCCATATATGTGTATAGCAAAAACTTAAAAAATCTTCTTTGAAAAAACCCAAATAGTTAGAGTTTAGATATTAAGCATGAAACATTTTCTAGTAAGTGTCTACAAAGATTGTTCAAATAAAAGCCCTTGGGTCAAAACTGGCCCTGCCCCAGGTGTGTCATTGTTTTTAACTATATGTGTAAAGAGAAAACTTGACCAGCTAGACCTTAGATGTTTAGCATGAAACATCTTCTAATGGGTGTCTACCAAGTTTGTCCAAATAAAAGCCCTGGGGTTTAAACTGGCCCCGCTCCGGGGGCCTATATACAGGTGAGCGATTTCAGGGCCATCATGGCCCTCTTGTTGATGTTTTACAGTTTGCACTTAATGTAGATCTACATTGTACTTATGTTGCAGGCATTGTTTATCCTAGATTGACTTGGCACTGACACCTATGTTGATGCCTGAATATTATGTTTCATTAAAAAAGAAAGAAACAACAATAAAACAAATTTACATAATTTTCAGGTGATTGCAATATTAGGCGAGACTTTGGAGTCATTTGATGACGACAACTTTATCCCAGCTTATGGATTTGGTGATGTTACAACTAAAGACTTTGGAACATTCCCATTCTTAAGTGAGGTAAATATCGATTTGAGCCGCGTTGTGACAAAACCAACATAGTGCATTTGCGACCAGTTTGGATCCAGACCAGCCTGCGCATCCACGCAGTCTGATCAGGATCCATGCTGTTCGCTTACAAACCCTATAACAAGTAGAGAAACTGATAGCAAACAGCATGGATTTTGATCAGACTGCGCGTAAGCGCAGGCTGGTCTGGATCCATGCTAGTCGCAAACGCATTACGTTGGTTTTGTCATGACACGGCTCATTTGTGTCCTGCCAATCATCTACATTCAATACAGTATCATTGAGTTCCAATGTTCTTTAAAGGCACTCAACCGAGGTTTCGACATCACAGGACTGGAAATAATTTTTCGAGATTAATGTTCCATGTGATGTAGGTCTAGACCAATAACTTGTGTGCAAAATTTCAGATCATTTGCTCACTCTGTATTTCCAGAATAATTATTCTTATTGTGAAAGATGACCGAAAATTGAAAAGCATTGCAATGATTATCACTCAAATCAGACTAAGAATAGCACAAAAATGTAATCTTCAATTTATTTCTGAGTATATTTTTTTCTTAATTACTTTTGCATATCTTTCTGTTTGGGAGGCACCAGTTGATCTGTGTACAAAATTAAGATTTTAGTTTTGAGGCTTTTGGAGCTCAGTGGAGTTCCTTTAATTGTGAAGGAATGTGTTAGCAGTGACGCCAGTGAGGTAGCACAGTTGGTATAGCTGTGGTGGAGGTTTCTTTTCATGTTCCTAGTTCGGCTGCACAGTTTTCATCCCCCTGTTACAACAGAGGTATGAATGCTAAGTAAACTGTATATAAAAAAGGCAAGGCACCTGTTTAACATGTTTGGAATGCTCGATACTGTATCAGGAGTCATTGGTGTTAAGGGTTGCTGGTTTGATTCATTTGCCAGTTATTGTGTTACATCTTCTGGTCAAAACCAATATCTCTTTTACTCATTTATTAAATAGCAAATGCTACATTTATTATCAAATTCTCTAGTATTTACATGTATTCTAGATTTGAAACTGGGGAGGTTCTACTGTACAGTTTTTCAGACTCCATTTTTTTAAATAGTACTAAAACATGTGGAAATTCACAGTAAAAACTACTGCACAAATGCCATAAACCAGTGTTTTCATTATCAAAATATTTAAAAAAAAAAAAATACATAGAATATAAAATTTTCATGCCACTTTAGAATATGAATAATTACGAACCAATTCTATTAAAATCATAGACATAATAAATCACATTTATATAACAATTTAAGGGACATTGTGCAGGATTCCAGAGTGTTTTAAGTGCTTATGAAGGTATTGCTAGTCGTGTCAGACTCAGTGGACCTACAAACTTTGCACCACTCATCAGAAAAGCTATTGATATAGTGAAAAATACAAGAGCTGTAAGTTATATGATGATTGTGTTATCAAATCTTTTTTTTAAGTTGTGTATCCAATATATATTTTTTATTTAACATACATGTATGTAACAATTTGCTACAGAATGAACACCAAATGAAAGATTTTAACGTGTGGCATCGCCATGAATGAATATATTATAGCTGGTGTCCATGAATAGAATGTTTTGAGGTTATTATACATTGTTGAGTACAATATTGAATTCAGTTGCACGAGTACATATCTGTCAATCCTACACTGAAGAAGGTGCTAGTGTACAAGTCCAATAGAATCAGTATATATTCAACAATGTATAATGACATCTTTATTTCACACTGCTAAAGTTTTGATATTGTAACAGAACTTTGTTACTCTGAATACAATAAGGATTTGATATGAATTTTTTGGACCCTGAAAATGAGGCTTCACAGGTACAATTGTGATTTGATATGGCTTGTTTGGACTAAGACAATAAAAACAAGTCTAAATAGAATACAATAGTGATTTCATACATGTTTCTTCTTCCTGACATCAAATGATTATGTTACAATATTTGTAATGATGAAATCTGTGAAATACATGTATTTCCAATTTTGATATAATTAAACACAGAGTTAAGAAATGCTTATTACATTTCCAGCAATCATGGATAATGTAGTGTGTCTTCACTGTGAAAGTATCCAATAATAATTCAGTTATAATATCTGAAATACATGTTTACATAATCCAATTTGTATGATATGTCAAATTGTGTTGTAAAAATCAGAAATCTTCAATTTTATATAGAATTTAATTAAAGTTTAATTTGTTAGAATATTTAGTATTTACCTTAGTATTTAGAATAAAACCTACTTTTTCTGTTGCAGTATCATATTCTAGTTATTGTTGCCGACGGTCAGGTGACGTCAGAAAAAGCTACAAAGCAAGCTATTGTAGAAGCGTCGTATCATCCTTTATCTATCATCCTGGTCGGCGTCGGAGACGGTCCGTGGGACATGATGGAGGAATTTGACGATGGCCTCCCGTCCAGAAAATTTGACAATTTTCAGTTTGTTGACTTTAATAAAGTTATGACCGAGGCAAGGAATCCAGAAGCAGCATTTGCCTTATGTGCCTTAATGGAAATACCTGACCAGTTCAAAAAAATTAAACAATTAGGTCTGCTCAATTTTGATTAGGAAAATTTGTTGCCTATCAATTTATATATGATGTAAAAAAGTCATTACTTTATATCTCAAAATGTTCTATTATTCAAAATCTATATTTTTTACCAAAATATTCCTCATTAAATCCATTCCTTGTAAAATTTTATATACATAAATGTGGTTCTTTTTAATGTTGAGTCAGGATGGGAGGCTGTGAGGTTGTGAGTTAGTTTTATTTATTAAAAGTTTTATTGTACTTATTCCATTATTTAGATGATTTTAACCTTTATAGTGCCAACTTTACGTGGCCACACATATACCATGTATAATGTTAGTGTTCATCCGTGCTGTTCTACAGAAATTAGAAACTTTGATGGGAACGATAGCGACAGGAGAATGTTTCTTATTTCTATAGAACAGCTATGAATGAATACTACTAACATACTTAGTGTCAAGCTTTATTTGGCCTCATTATTATTGACTTAATTACATCACTACACGGTTCTATGAAGTACTATGAAAAAATAGTAGGCTACTATGAACAGAATTTGATATAGTATCAACTTATGTTCTTCTATGAAAATTAACACACACAATTTTTAAGAAATACAGCATTTTCATTGGATGACAAATAAAGCTTGACACTTAAAGTTTTTAATTGCATGAGTTCAAGCTATGCATTAACAGCTGGATTGAATTTTTCAAAATGTGCATTTTTAGTCTGATTTTATACATACATGCATTTACTTTTACTGAAAATGGCTAATAATTTACTATTATTGTTCCTGGTCTTAAGACACCCAAAGCTGTGAATCGAAAATACACCTTTTCATAACACCTTTCAACATAAAATATAGAGACAATAGCTGGATTAATTCCAGATCCATTCACATAGTTATCTTATAAGATTCATGTGAAAAAAGTATCAAACAAATTGAAATGTGTTATTGTAGAAAGTTTTTACATAATATTATGTAAAAGTTTTATCCAGTTTATTTAAGTTTGCACTGAATTGTATACAAGTCTATTTCAAAACCCTATATGTCATTAAAGTAAGTTCCAATTTTTGCAAGTTTACCTTCCTTTCAAGAATTATAGATTGAAAATTCTCATGAGTGTTAGACGGTAACGGTTCAACCTGTGCAAATCAAAACTGTTTTTGGAGATGATGATTTTTGTTGCTGCTGAAAGATGTTGTCCTAGATAGATTTAATTTATTTTATTGTTTATTCATATTTTAAAAAAAAAGATGCCGTTGTTGTGAAGAGAAGTTAATTGCTGGACAGAATGGGCAATTTACTTAAAGCATAAATGTGCAGGATGTGAATTATATAAAGGGAACAAACTCTTACTTTCCAAAGTGATGGTTGTTGACCTTTACCATGCTAAGACTGAAAGTGCGTTTGCCACTAGTATAGAGCCAGGGCGACCTGTAAAACCCTGCAGTCTGACCAGGCTCTATACTGTTGGCTGACCAATTCAAATTTATATCATGATACCACCAAAATTGATGATTAAAACAGTTTCTGAAATAGAGGCTAAAAAATTTGGTATGTTAGGGGTAAATATCGCATTGTATATTTCCTATTTGTTGATAAATGAATACGGCACACAGATTTGAAGGTGTCACTGCGATATACATGTATACATGTACAAGAATTATTAAAGGGGATAAAACTCTTTCAGTCATACACGTAAGCTTTTTGTTGTTAGCTAATACAATATCCTGTCACTTTATATTTTAATTATTTTATTCATGTTTTAAGAAATGGGTCTAATTTTTCCAGAATTGAAATTTGTTTTGGTTATTATATTAGATAAAAATGATTGAAAAAAGTTGGTGAAATTATGATTTTCTTTTTGCACTGTTTTTGGAAAACAGGCTTATTTGCCATTGAGGACAAGTCCAATCTAAGAACCCATTTAAAGATGTGGAATAAACGACAGGTGTGCAATACAATATTACATGTAACTATTTGGGATCATGTTCCATAACCTGTACTGTCAATTTAACATTGGCAACAATCACTTCAATTTGTTTTGTAAAGATTTAAATTTTGAAGAGTCTTTATTATACTTTGTTAACCTCTCTTTTATATGGAGTTGTTTTAAATAGTTTTTTGTTACTATTATTTGATTGTTTGATATTACTTTTTTGTTTGTGCAATCTGGTTGAATCAAATATTCATTATAACACTGTTATAACTTAATGAAAATAAAGAACTACTTTAAGTTATTTTGTAATGTATATTGAACATTATGCAGATACACTGAAGGAAGCTCAGCCTCATTATCCGAGTATTTATTTCAGTGTTAAATGGAACTGAAAAGTCACTTGTCAAATTATTACAATAACCTGCTGGTAAGAATCTATTTGCAAGATTATTTAATTATATGATTAAACTTTCCCATTATTTATTTGTATGTTCTTCAACAATGTATTTAGTTTGTGTTCTTAATTGTATGTTAACTTCTAGATCTCTTGATTATGCAGCCTACAATAGAAGTGTGGTCAGACTGCAGAGCTTTGTAGCTAGGCCTGACTCAGCGATACCCATGGTTGACTAACATGTAACATGAATGTTAATGGTTTAGCCATCGGTATCCTACGATGGGTTCGACTGTCTGAGGTATAAAATACTTGCCACAAGTTTGAGAGGCATTAAGACAACAGTCATAACAATTGCATTTAAATTCCATTTACATTGTATAACAAGAAATAAAATATTTTCAATAAATGGTTTTTTGTTTGTTAGTTTTTGGTTGGGTTTTTGTTTTGTTGGGTTTTAATTCACTCCAACACTGTAATTGTCATCTAACAACTTTCCAGCTTTATTGGCAAAGGAAGATCTCTGCTTGGGTTCCTGTGCATGATTTCAGACAGGAGCAGGCACCTTAAGTAGAATTTTCTGACCTGCAAGCTAGCAGAAGTTTCCCCAAAAGAAAATCCAGGATTTGAACCAATGGAAATGAGGTTGTGATTTGTAGTCATTATAACCACTCAGCCACAGAAACCCCTGGTTGGACCAAAAGTTGTATGTCAATGACAATGGTCAATGTTATTGCTATTTTTGACAAAGAGGAAATTTTGCAATGGTAATTCCTTTTTGACAATAACAAAAGCCCTAAGATGTGTCAAAGTGCTGATGCAAAATTAATAGATTACGCAAGTTACTTTACAGCTTGACTAATGGCAGAGGACATAAGGTGTCTTCTTTTGCTTTATTTCAGGCACAAGCTATTAATTATTTGGTTGAATCTTCAAATTTAATTTTGGTGATTTTGTTTTCTGTTAACAAAAAACATGACATGAAGTAAAAATTCTTCAAAATGTTGCCAAGGTAAAAATTTATTTATGCACCTTAAAAAACACACAGAAAACTGAAATAATTTCACAATTTTAATACTTGTACATTATTTAACACATGATTTTACAAAATCATAATTATATAAATAATGAAATATCAACTCTTTAACAATTTTCAGCCATTTGTGTCTCTTTAAAAAAAGAAGATTTTTTTTCTCAAAGAATAAATTAAGGTCAAACACTGATAAATAAATGTTATCACAGTAAAAACAAGAAGGGTTAATTATTCCCTCCAAAACATTACCACAACACAAAAAGCACACATAGTTGTTCATCTTTAGCACTAATAACCAACTACAACTTATATGTTGATGGTCATAATTGTTACACAGAAAAATATCTTAATACAAAAAAGGTTTGGTATGAAACTGTTACAACTTACATACATGTGTTGATATTGAATGAGTGTGCATTTAATACTGAATTTATTGAACGAGTTGATTAAAGTTTTATTGAACGAGTTCAATAAATTTAGAATTGAATCTACACAAATATAATATTCTATTTATCACATATCTAAAATAACGGTTTACAATTAAAAAGAGTCATTTTTTATTGACTAGCCTATAGTGTAGTGCTAAAATTAGAGCACTTTAACGTTATGTTTGTATGTAATGCAAATGATGTCACATAAAAGTGTTATTACACCAGTGTGATATCATTTTTTTATTAAATGGCTTTATTACACTTGTGTGCCTTGATTTATGTGAAAATTACAAAATTTTATACTTTAAAATCATATATATAGGTACAGCCAAAAATTATCATTTCTTGGTAATCGGCAAAGATTAAATATCCACGAATTTCTGCTTTTTTAATTTTATTTTGTTTATACAGATTTTTGTTTTAGTTTGAGTGTGTAGGAAGCTTATAGCTTATAAACACCTTGAACCCTTTCCTGCAACCAACCAGTATTGAGCTACGAGTGTGAAGTTTCTTGATCAAGGGAGTGATAGCTTGCCCCTGACAGGGTTTGAAGTTTAAACCCATGCAGGTAGTGATCCTTAGGTAACTAGTATGATGCTTTAACCTATCGGTCATGTCGCCACTTCAACAGTATACAGCCTGGTTGGGCTTCACTGATAATTAGGCTGGCCTGGCTCTATACATATCACTTTTTGTTCCCACAGATAAAGAGTTAAACATAAAGGAAACAGGGTCTATTTCCAAAATTTTAAATAGCTATCTATATCTTGTAGTATCTTCTAAAATCATAAATGACTTATGCCCGTAAAGGATACTTATGGTACCTTTCAATGAACATTTACAAAGACATACGATCTTCATTCCACTTGTAGGTGAATTTTATATGATTTTTTTTTTACCCTGTTCATCAAAATTTTTTTTTAAAAAAATGCCATATCTCTGAAACTCATGTGCACCATTTTAAGCAGATATTAAATCCTCAATAATAAGAATTGGAATTAATTTGTTAGGTCCAGAAATAAAACAAGAAACTGAGATGAAGTACAGTGTTCTAAAGTTCATTCTTACATGCTTCACACTATTCCCATATCAAACAGATACAGCAATCAAGTGCATTATTACACGATATATGGACAGAATGAAAAAGGAATGCTTACACATCATATGATGTCAGATATGACATCAATATACCAAATGATGTCTGGAATATGACTTCTACCCTAAATGTAACTCAACATGTTTTTATCAATTCTCTTATTTTATTAGCACATAAGAATGGGAAAAGATATTAATTTTTCTTGCATTATAGTATTATAATGCAGGATTTATCATTCAAATGCTTTGAAACCAATTACTCAGGCCTATCGGCCTTTGTGATTATATTCCTGCGCATTTGAACTTGAATCTGCATAATTTTACAACAATGCACTCAAATTTGATATCTACATGTATTTCCTAAATAACCATACACACTTCTATATGAATAGTTTCCATATTTTGTTTTCATTGTAAAATTAAATTAGTTAAATACTCTTCAATGTGAAGTAAAACTGATGTACTCTTGTAAGAAACGTAAAAAAAACAACAACCTCAACTGCATTCACCAATACAATGAAATCATTGTTCAAAAGGAAAATGAGATTCTTTCGTTACAAACAGATACGTCTATTACAAATAAATAATTATGTATTCATTCTCAAAGTTTTCTTTTAAAACTAAATGACCTTCCAAAGACAATTATATCATTATCACTAAGATGATAAGGAACACGAAAATTTATGTCAGCTATTCATGAGATGTTTACCTTATCTCCTATAATCATATAAAACCACTGAAACGTGTTATTTTTAGTACATTACCCTTGATAAAGATGACAGTAAACTGTCCAAAAAGTAAATAATTTGCAACAAATGACAGTGAATTTAGCAATTATCAATCAGTCAAAAACTACCTATTGACAGAAAAAATAAATATTCAATAAAGTGTAAGTTACAAAAAATAATGCTAGGATGTTGACAGTATTAAAGGAAAAATAACTATTCTACAAGGTGTAAGGAGAGATGCAGACCTCTAGAGTAAATTGCAAAAATAATAAAATAATGCTAGGATTAAATCCCCCCCCAGTACAGTTCATACAAAAATTAACAAACATTATCTGTAAAACAGAAGATAAATTCTTGTAACATATTTGGTATTGCAGAACCTACTTGTGACAAAATCTAGTCCCATATGAAAGGAGCTCCTCTGAGGTCAAAAATTCTATAATTGGTTCACAAATTTGAAGAAAAAAAATTTCCAGTCAAGTTATATCAAAAAACCTCAGTGAAGTCCTTTTTAAATACATGTTTACCATAATTAAGCACTATGATTAAGAAGTAAGACAGGAATAGCTCTGACATGGTCTATAAATTTTCACTTTAATTTATACATGTAGTTGTACTAGTATATTGACATATCTGGTGATATTTCAATCTGTGATAGTAAACACAATTCAGCACATTTTCTTCTCACAAACAAACTTTGTCTCAACCAGCACAAACACGTGTCATTGTCATTCAACACGCATCAACAAACTATGAAGTAATACTGATCCACGTTCCTTTGTTGACCATTCTATTTCATTGTTACTGATCTCTGGATCAATGGGCTCGTTGGCACCAATAGACTGCGGCCCAACTTTGTAGGAGCCTGGTTTTACATAAACTTGGAATGCCACCCGAACATGATGTACCTTCCTTGTCTTTGGGTCTATTACTCTGTTGAAGAAGAAATATAAGAATACTGTTTTTAACAGGAGTGAAAACATCGCCAATATCAATGCTTTAAACAAAAAACTTCGAGTCAGACTATAAAAAAAGGATTGGAGCACCAAAATATCGTACTCTGGTATATACCGGACAAGGCACTTGAATGATTAAATGCTAAATATCGTCTTTTCACCCAACAGAATGATCTTTAAAATCATCTTTTCATACCAATTTATGTATGATAATGAATGGAAAATGTAAGAATCTGTGAAAAAACATTATTTGTCTATTTATTGATCATGATTTCTGCAAGTGTCTAGAAGTACTGCTCCAGTCCTGTATTGAGTTAAATCAAAAACATTTACTTGCTGTTTTTCTTAAATGGACTTGTCCAGCTTTCTTTCTTGGAACTGACGATTATCAATTTTCAGGGTTATCAAAATTATACATTAAAGTTAGTCTGCAAACATTATAGAGACTGGTTAAACTGTACAGATGTGCAGGCTGGCCTGTCTCTATATTGGTGACAAAGGCTAATAACTTTCCATTCCAACAGGGTATTGGTTAACAGGTTAGTAATTACTAGTATTTGATAAAAAAATACAACTCAGCAAAGCAGCTGTCCATATACTTAAATACTTCACATGTTTAAATATAAGACAGTAAATTGTTAAGTTGCTTCTAAACATGAATACACAAAATTCTTCAGAAAAATCTAAAATTGATAAGAAGTTCAAGTTTAATAGTGTATAGTTATATGTTTTGTCTTTTGTATAGCTTCATTTCAAGTTCACATCAGGAAATGATTGTAATTTATTGACTATATGCACCTTTCAGGTGTGTAATGCTTAATTAATGTTTTTGTTGCTGTATAATGTAGGTATTTGATTTTCTAAAACACCATACTTACTTGTGTTTAGGTGAGAATTCATTAGCTCCAGTATATTTTAATGTTGGTGATAGAAAGATTTTATTGACTGATGTACCATCTGGCTGGGATTTCTCTGTAAAGACAGGCGGCTGGGGTAATAGAACACTTCCCCCATTCACTACTTCACCTGTAATATATAAATATGTTAATTCAGTACTGGGTGTACATATCTGTATATGTCTTAATGTTTTACCTTCTGTAAATAAAGTTATTATTATTATTATCATTATTATATAAGAAGAGTGTATCAAACAAATTACAAAAGATCAAACTTAATAGTATAACACCTTAATGTATACACAAGTATAGCTGTTTGACTAAAAGATCTGGATTAATGCAATAAAATTGACCCCTGCAAACAAGTACTGTAAAATAAGATATTTTTGTGCGGCCAAATTTCATAAAATCAGCATCTCTCACTATTTGGCTATAGGTGTAAGACTTGCATGAATGACTTATGGGGTTCAAGGCTGATATGGGACATGGCTAAGTTTAATTATTTAACAACAAAAATAATTAGTTCCTAGAGACAAATATGAGTATAACTCCAATAGGCTTTTTACTTTCATTAAATTGAGCTAAACAAGCATGTTAATACAAAATTTTGTTTGTTTTTGTGTAAGCCATTTCAACAATTTAATTTTGCCAGTAATTTCTGCTATTTTACTGCAAGTGACAAACTTCTAATCCCACATGATTTTCTGAATCAGAGGTTAGAGAAATATGACTAAATGTAAGAGATGATTGTCAAGGAGAATCATCTTCTGACCCAATACTTACCCACAACCCCTGATTTACAATCCAATACGATCCCTATTGGACAGAGCCTAAATCCCTTATTGGACAATGTTACTTTAGCCATGAAATAAAAGATTAGTTACAATCAAGGAAATATCAAAGCAATACCGGTTGAATGGAGGTCTCCTTTATCAAGAATTCTACGTAAATTTTCTATCTTAGATCCAAAATACGCAACATGCCATTTTTCATAGACACTCCAACCATTTGTTCTACTTGGTAGTCTGAAATAATGAATGACAATACAAGTACAAAATATTACCTTTTCACATCTATTTTACTTTCACTAATAATACAAAATGTTTCAAATTAACAAAAAAATTTATGATAAAGTAAGTAGTTTACTTGATTTTCATCCTTTCGGAGCAACAAGCCTTCTATAAATACACAATTACCTAACATACATAAACAAGAGGGCCATGATGGCCCTAGATCGCTCACCTGAATTATCAAACTCATACAAACAATTACCTAGACAAGCATTCTGACCAAGTCTCATGACAGGTGAGTCAAAAATGTGACCACTACAGTGTTAACAAGGATTATCCATATTTGAGCAGTGCGACCTAGTTTTTTACCCAGGTGACACATATTCAAACTTGACCTAGAAATCATCAAAACAAACTTTCAGACCAATTTCCAGGATACTTGGATCAAAACAGTAGCAACTAAAGTGTTAACAAGATTTTTCTATTTTTAGCTCCGGTGACCTAGTTTCACATGCGATTTCGAACTCATCCAAGCAATTACCTAGACAAGCATTCTGACCAAGTTTGATGATAATGGAGTCGAAAATGTGACCACTAGAATGTTAACAAGGTTTTTTCCATATTTGGGCGGTGTGACCTAAGTTTTTCATCCAAGATGACCCATGTTCGATCTTGACTTAGAAATCATCAAAACAAACTTTCAGACCAATTAACAGAATATTTGGATCACAACAGTAGCCACTAGAGTGTTAACAAGATTTTTCTATTTTTAGCTCCTGTGACCTAGTTTTTCATCCGAGATGTCCCATGTTCGATTTATTCCCAGCAATGACCTAGACAAGTTTCCTGACCAAGTTTGATGACAATTGAGTCAAAATTGTGACCACAAGAGTGTTAACAAGGTTTTTCTATTTTTAGCTCTTGTGACCTAGTTTTTCATCCGAGATGACCCATGTTCGAACTCATCCGAGTTATTACCTAGACAAGCATCTTGATCAAGTTTGATGATGATTGATGCAAAAATGTGACCGCTAAAGTGTTAACAAGGTTTTTCTATTTTTAGCTCCGGTGACCTACTTTTTCATCCGAGATGACCCATGTTCGAACTCATCCAAGCTATCAACTAGATAAGCATCCTGACCAAGTTTGATGATGATTGATGCAAAAATGTGACCGCTAGAGTGTTAACAAGGTTTTTCTATTTATAGCTCCGGTGACCTAGTTTTTCATCCGAGATGACCCATATTCGAACTCATCCGAGCTATTATCTAAACAAGCATCCTGACAAAGTTTGATGATGATTGGGTCAAAAATGTGACCACTAGAGTGGTCACAAGGTTTTTCTATTTTTAGCTCCTGTGACCTAGTTTTTCATCAGAGATGACCCATGTTCGAACTCATCCAAGCAATTGACTAGACAAGCATTCTGACCAAGTTTGATGATGATTGGTTCAAAAATGTGACCACTAGAGTGTTCACAAGGTTTTTCTATTTATAGCTCCTGTGACCTACTTTTTCATCCGAGATGACCCATGTTCGAACTCATCCGAGCTATCACCTAGACAAACATCCTGACCAAGTTTGATGAAGATTGGGTCAAAAATGTGACCTCTAGAGTGTTCACAAGGTTTTTCTATTTTTAGCTCTTGTGACCTAGTTTTTCATCTGAGATGACCCATGTTCGAACTCATCCGAGCTTTCAACTAGATAAGCATCCTGACCAAGTTTGATGATGATTGAGGCAAAAATGCGACCGCTAGAGTGTTCACAAGCAATTGTGGACGGCCGGACGGACGACGGACATTCATCGATCCTAAAAGCTCACCCTGAGCAAGCTCAGGTGAGCTAAAAAACCCAAAAAATGTTCATTTATAAATTTTAATTCTTTAGCAGCTAAACATTGCATCTACAATTTTGCAAACATTCTCAACATTCCAAATCATTCCAAATAACACACGTAATAGTATAGAAATAGTCTGATAAATGTTATTACCAATACAAGCTGAGGTCACTTGTTAATCAGCATTAAGTACTGGTATAGTGACTACCTTTGTTCAAGTGAATAAATGTTTTGTTGCATTGAAAAGGCACCGACAACCTTATGCAGCCCCATTATGACGCTAACCTAGATATAACGCTTATAGGCCTTGGCTCACAAAAAAATACCCATGGTTTTGGCCAATTGTATATATTTTTTTCATGTTGATTTATAACACGCCATATCCACTATAAGAGCCGCGTCACGACAAAACCAACATAATGGGTTTGCGACCAGCATGAATCCAGACCAGCCTGCGCATCAGCGCAGTCTTATCAGGAACCATGCTGTTCGCTATTAGTTTCTCTACTTGTAATAGGGTTTGTAAGCGAACAGCATGGATCCTGATCAGCGTGCGCGGATGCGCAGGCTGGTCTGGATCCATGCTGGTCACAAACCCGTCATGTTGGTTTTGTTGTGATGCGGCTCATGCTTGTTTAATGTGACAAGTTTGTTTACCTTAGTTTAAACATACACCAGCCGTATTGTGTAGCATATTGTTTAGGAGGGTCCCCTTTCCGGTGATACAGTTCTTCTCCACGTAGTTTATGGCAAGTCTCGCAATAACAAACATGAAGGCTTGTGTCGAAATATCCATCTAAATATGATCAAATTAACATGACAAATATATCTTAATTTATTTATATTATTGAAACAAGATTGTTTATGCTCACAGACAGACAAAAGATACTACTATAATAATCATCATAATAACAATAATTAAACACCAGTATGAGAAAATGACCCTTAACATCACATACTTTTTTTTAAATTGACATATTGAATTCTTAAAGAAATTTCAATTCTATTTTAGTGCTTGAAATTAATAATAAATTTTTTTTTAAATTTGCTTACTGTTACCTATTCATATTTATCTTTAAACATTTCAAGGGTAATTCACTTTTTTATTTTTAACTTCAATGAAAACGTTTTTGTCTTTTAAAATGACGTTAAGGGACGTCTTTTCATGCCAGTGTTCATTCAATTATACATTCTACTGAATGCATTTTCTAATCCTTAATTAGTATAAAATGCATTTTAATTAACAAACATTCCTGAACTGTATACTTTTGACAATAGTTGTTCCCGTTCTATAGAAATAAACTTAATCTAACAAAAAAGACATTTATAACAACATGTACCTGGCAGAGACAGCTGTGCTTTTATTCTAAGACAAAGATTCTGGTATTCACAATGCCGTAATATTGAACTCTGTTCTACAACGGGTCTGTGAACTTTCTCCTTTATAGCTGAAATAAAAATATATTAAATGATACCTTATGTACCAAATAAAATCTGATCCTAAAGTTGCTACTTATTGACTTTTCAAGCTTAATTATTTCTAATTAATTCAATCAGGAGAAAATAACATGTATCCATGATAAAACCCTGGATAGGGTTGCCAGCATCATAGATAAATAAAATTCCCTAACTTTTCCCTGACTTTTCACTGACCAAATTAGGTTTTTCACTGATTAAAATTACCAAACTTAAACAGTCTCCACCTCCCCTACAGCCGTCCAATTCACCACAGGGCTTTTTTTCCTTCTATAGCAGGGGCCATTATAGGACTGTTTCCCCAAAAAGAAATTCTTTAAAATCATGCAGTTTTCCCACAAAATATAATTTACATCAAGTTTTTTCTTCCCCTTTTGCAAATATACCATTAATGTATCCCCAAAATTAAGGGCAGGGCTGCTTCCCCAACCTGTGAAAAAAACCCTGCACCCATAAGTTTTTTTGTTGTTGGTTTTTAATGCTTTTAACAATATGGTCAATAAAACATGCTTTATACATCTAAGTCTGAGGCAAAACTATTATCTTGAGCTACAGAATACTGCCATAGCCAATATAATTAATAACAAGAGGGTCATGATGGCCCTGAAATTACTCATCTGAATATAAAAACTCTCCAAGAACAAGAATAATTTTGACCCCAGGGCTTTTATTTGAACAAAGTTGGTAAACACCCATTGGAAAATGTTTCATGCCAAATATCTAAGCTCTAGCTCTTTTGTTTTTTAAAAGAAGACTTTTTAGTTTTTACTATATATTCATATCAGGAAAATTAATGACCCCCATGACTGGACCAGTTTTGACCCCAGGGCTTTTATTTTAACAAACTTGGTAGACACTTACTTAAAGATGTTTCATGCCAAATATCACAGCTCTACCTCTTTGGGTTTTTCAAAGAAGATATTGTTTTTTTTTTTTACTATGTACATAAAAGGAAAATCAGTAACCCCATGGGGTGGGACTTATTTTGACCCAAGGACTTTTGTTTGAACAAACTTGGTAGACACACACTAGAAAATGTTTCATGCTTAATATCTAAGCTCTAGCTCTTTTGGGTTTGTTTCAAGAATTTTTAAGTTTATATAAACATATAAGGAAAATCAATGACCCCCTTGACTAGGCAAATTTTGACCCAAAGGCTTTTATTTGTACAAAATTGGTAGACACTCACTGAAGATGTTACATGCTTAATATCTAAGCTCTAGCTCTTAAAAGAGGTGAACATGGTTTTTTTTCCAGTTTTTACTTTATACATATAAGGAAAATTCTTCAAAATTATTTTTCCCTGACTTTTCCCTGATTTTTTAGGATTTTTATTCTTCACTGACCAATTTTCAAAATTCCCTGACAATTCCCTGACCTTGAAAAAATATCAGATTTCCCTGACTTTTCAAGTCTGCTGGCAACCCTGCTGGACTTGAGTTATAATCTGCTGATATATTTTTTTTAATTAATCTGTGAAACTTCCATTTTAAATATTTGAGATATTTTCATGTCACAACATTTGAAAGCCGGGACAATTTTTTGTTGTTGGTTTTTATGTCACACCAACACAGTAAAGGTGACTCCAGTTTTACTGGTGGAGGTGGATGGTGGAAGACCTCAGGTGCCCCTCTGTGTATAATTTCAGGTTCAAGCAGGCACCTGAGTAGAACCACCAATGTTCCATAAGCTAGCTTGCAAACGACACCTGGTCAATATACACACAAATTGTTGACTGATCTGACTTTACAGTTATACAGACAATAACATCATTTTACAATCATGTGCAGATGACTTTGTTAAAATTTATCAACTATATTGTCTTATATCAGTTATATCAGTTATATCGAGATTGAATGAATTCTTTAATTATCAACTTTGTTTGTTTGTTTAATTGGCTTTTACGTCACACCGACCCAGTATAGGTCATATGGCGGCATTCCAGCTTTACTGGTGGAGGAAGACCTAAGGTGCACTTCCGTGCATTATTTCAGGCACCAACTGAGCTAGCTGAATAGCTTCCTCACATGGAAGAATCCAAAGTCTCTGTCAGGATTCGAACCCACAATGGTGAGGTGCAAGTGGTTTGATAATTATCAACTAATTGTAACATAGGAACTGTTTATGTTGGTATTGTAGAAAATAGATCTGTTCATGATTTTATAAACAAACCACCAGTTTTATAGGTAAGAGTTATATGAACACCTACCATCATCTATATCTGCCTTCTCCCTATCTTCAACATTTGTCTGTGTTGCCATGACAACATTCTCTTCTGTTACTATAGTAACCTGTATCAAAATACAATATTTTCTTTACAAAACTGAAAAACCCAACTCTAGCAGATACTATATAACACACAAATACAGGAGTCTCCATGCCATTTTTAATTTAACCCTTAATCTGCTGAATTTGTAGAATTGATTCACACTGCTTTGAATAAATTTGGAGCAGTCTGTATGAAGAAAAAGAAACTTCTATATCAAAATACCAACAAAAAAAAAACAAGAGGGCCATGATGGCCCTGAGGTCGCTCACCTGTATATAGCCCCCCCCCCCCAACCCATAAGAAGATGTTTCATGCTAAACATCTAAGCTCTAGCTCATTGGTCTTTTTAAAAGAAGATATTTTAAGTTTTACTTATAATACACATATAGTTAAAAACATGACACCCCTGGGGCGGGGCCAGTTTTGACCCCAGGGCTTTTATTTGAACAAACTTTGAAGACATTTGCTAGAAGATGTTTCATGCTTAATATCTAAACTCTAGCTATTTGGGTTTTTTCAAAGAAGATTTTAAGTTTTTGCTATACACATATAAGGAAAATCAATGACCCCCAGGGCGGGACCAATTTTGACCCCCAGGCCTTTATTTGAACAAACGTTGTAGACACTCACTAGAAGATGTTTCATGCTTAATATCTAAACTCTAGCTATTTGGTTTTTTTCAAAGAAATTTTTTTAAAGTTTTTGCTATACACATATAAGGAAAATCAATGACCCCCGGAGAGGGGCCAATTTTGACCCCAGGGCTTTTATTTGAACAAACTTTGTAAACACCTATTAGAACATGTTTGATGCTAAATATCTTAGCTCTAGCTCTTTGAGTTCTTTAAAAGAAGATTATTGATGAGTTTTTACTATATGCATATAGGGAAAATCAATGACCTCCTGGGGCGGGGCCAATTTTGACCCCAGGGCTTTTATTTGAACAAACTTGGTAGACACCCATAAGAAGATGTTTCATCTTAAACATCTAAGCTCTAGCTCATTGGGCTTTTTTTAAAGAAGATTTTTTTTAAGTGTTTACTATACACATATAGTTAAAAATCAATGACCCCCAGGCGGGGCCAATTTTGACCCCAGGTCTTTTATTTCAACAAACTTTGTAGACACTCACTAGAAGATGTTTCATGCTTAATATCTTAACTCTAGCTATTTAGGTTTTTTCAAAGAAGATTTTTTAAGTTTTTGCTATACACATATAAGGAAAATCAATGACCCCCGGGGCGGGGCCAATTTTGACCCCAGGGCTTTTATTTGAACAAACTTAGTAGACACCTATTATAACATGTTTGATGCCAAATATCTTAGCTCTAGCTCTTTGAGTTCTTTAAAAGAAGATTTTTTAAGTTTTTACTATATGCATATAGGGAATATCAATGACCCCCTGGGGCAGGGCCAATTTTGACCCCAGGGCTTTTATTTGAACAAACTTGGAAGACAATCATTAGAACATATTTCATGCTAAATATCTTAGCTCTAGCTCTTTGGGTTCTTTAAAAGAAGATTTTTTAAGTTTTTACTATATGCATATAGGGAAAATCAATGACCCCCTGGGGCGGGGCCAATTTTGACCCCAGGGCTTTTATTTGAACAAACTTGGTAGACACTCACTAGAAGATGTTTCATGCCAAATATCTAAGCTCTAGCTCTTAGGGTTTTTTAAAAGAAGATATTTAAAGTTTTTTCTTTCAGTTGCCATGGCAACCAGAGTTCTGCATGGAATTAAATTCTTTGAACAATTTTTAAAGGTGACCACGAAAGGAACATTCCTGTGAAGTTTGGATGAAATTCGCCTAGTGGTTTATGAGGAGATGTCATTTAAAGTAAAAGTTTACGGACGCCGGACGGACGCCGGACGAAAAGCGATCACAAAAGCTCACCCTGTCACTTTGTGACAGGTGAGCTAAAAAAATAAATAAATAAATAAAAACACGTGTGTATCCAAAATATCAAACTTTACAACATTTCATGTATTTTACCTGCTAAGCTTACCTCAAAATACATATAATGAACTTACATTTTCTGATAAATATTTTTAAATAATAACAACAAAATTTGAGTATTACATTTTGCAAAAATCTACAAATCTCAGCATATTTCAATCTACAGACACAACTGTGTGAATAATTATGTCATGCTTATAGTAATCTACCTGTTCACACTGTCCATAGAGGTCAACTAGACCATGACACGGACATGGTACATCTCTGGCAGCCACACCCTGGTCGACACCATTTATATACAGATGTAGACTACTATCATCATCTATTAATACACCCACTGTATCACCTATCTGTAACTTGTCTAGATTCCTCCCATAATGCTCCTTGATCTGTAATCAAATGTGGAAGAACAGTCAACATTTCAATAGCTCTCATGAAAATCAAGAAAAATATATTTAAGTGACATTATGCGCATCAAAATGTAAACTGTTAGCGTAAATTAAAGTCATAATAACTTTACATTTTGCCATAATTGTCTTCACTTGTATATTTTAATACACAAAATTGATATATACACAAATATTCCAAGGAAATTTCTATAAATGGTCTTCAGAATTTATTGATACACAGAGTGAGACAGTCTTTTTATATTTTAAGTAAATTTATTTATTTTCTCCTAAACGTTGTCATTATCATATTTTGGCCAATGAACATTTTAGTAGTTTATCTTTTGAAATTTATAACTAATTAAACACAACTTGACAGCAAAAAAAAAAAAAATAATGTCACTTTATATAATCTTTAGAAGAATTAAAATTTCAAAGCAGAAATGCTCATGTTGTTCTTTTGGACAAAAAAGCCATTATTCTTTATAAATACATCATCAACTGATTATTATTTGACAGAGTTTAAAGATTATACTTTATCAACAAACAAAAACAACTGAAGTTATAAAAAGATGGCAAACTCTAAGTCTTACGAAAAGGGGATTTTCCATGTTAGTACTAAACAAACATAACGGTTAGCCTCCATATAAAAAATAAGATCAGATTTTCTTTTTCATTAAGATATCTATTCCAAGTATTCTTACACAATGTTTCAGTTTTTACCTTTGAACCACTGGAGTAAACTTGATCCGACTGTATAACAACACAAGACTTTTTTATGGCTGTAGCAGAGACAGGAAAGGTGTATTTTTCTGGAGAGAATCCAAGGTATCCAATCATCAAAGACGAACTCCAACGAGTATTCAACTTGTCTATCCTTACCTAAAACACAGGGGCAAAACAATCCTGGGTTATTACATATACATTGTGATTTCCAACCTTATTAGAGGTAGTAAAATGTATACATGTACAAAGAAATATTTCTACCCATTTTAATAAGATTCTACAAACAAACTAATGGGATAAACATTCTCTAAATAAAAACCACTTTTTCTGCTTATCTGCTAAATAATTTACACAAGCAAAGAAACATCTAGTTCTATTGTATCATTCTGTGTGTGACCTAAACATCAGCTGAGATTTGTTAAAACCTTTAATGCCTCCATTTTACAAGATGACCAAAATCTTGAGATTATATTGATATACATGTACATATATTTTCCAGTTAATGCACGCTGTCAGTCCAGCTTATAACCATCGATCCTCGATGCATCTATATTCCTTATCTACAAAATCATATGAGCCTCATCATAACAAAACCAACATAGTACGTTTGCGACCAGCATGGATCCAGACCAGCCTGCGCATCCGCGCAGTCTGATCAGGATCCATGCTGTTTGCTATCAGTTTCTTTACTTGTAATAGGGTTGGTAAGCGAACAGCATGGATCCTGATCAGACTGCGCAGATATGCAGGCTGGTCTGGATCCATGCTGGTCGCAAACGCACTATGCTGGTTTTGTTGTGACGTGGCCCAAATATAACCTATATATGAGAACCCATACTGTAACTTACACTTACCCTAAACAGTTGATTTTTGACTAGAGATTTATTGGTTACAGCTATGGCCTGATTATAACTAGACACACGTTCTATTGTCTGGTTACCGTTGCTAAGGAGAATATTTTTACCATGGTTACAGTGGAATTCTGGGACTGATATACTGGCAGTATCTTGATCTTGGTCTCTATCTAATGGCTGAAATTACAGAAAAAATGTAATTATTATTTTCTATGGCTCAATGTTTCATAATTACAATGACATACTGATAACCACTTCTGTAGCTGATTCAAATATCAATTTGTTGCGAAACCTTCAAAGCTAAAGGGATATGTTACTGTTTTAAGAATTTTTTGTGTGTAATTTTTTATATCAAAATTTAACTAATAAAGCAATGCCAAAAATCAGAATGGAAACATGCTGTATGCAATTGTATACAATTATAATACATATTTTTAATCTTAACCCATCAACTCTTTTCCTGCTAATTGATTGCTCGCTACCACAATTATAAAGCCAGACCTGCTCGCAGTCTCTATTCTATTGTTAACTCGGTTTTCATATTTTGATATTAAAGCCTGTTATATTTCAAATAAAATCTTTCAGATATACCAGTGTTGCATCTAGAATTTCAAAATTATGGGGGATTGTCCCCCACTCAACTGAAAAATGTGGGGGACTTGAAAAAGATGTGGGGGACATATTTTTACTTTACACTATGACTTATCAAAAAGAATTCATTTATTTTACATTCAAGCATTTTTGACAGCTATCGTCCACTCAAAAACGGAAATAGAAAAAATAAAATATTGACGAATACTACAAAACACACGCGAGATGACCCAGTCGGCTGCTACACGCTTTTTAGTACGTATTTTAGTCATTACCACGAGTGAAAACAAACATGGCTGAAGCTTTCAAGACACGATCAAGATAAACTGAATAAAGTTAAAAAATTGTCAGATGCGCGACTTGAGGCGCGCTGACTTCATTAAAATGCGCAATCTGCATAAAATATGCGCAAATCGCGCGTCCTAGATGCAACACTGTATACTATGCTCAAATTTGATATATCAAAATATTGAACATTGCTATACATTCTCTTTGCAAATATAAAATAAACATGTTTTGACTTAGCACAAAGAAGATATGTTATGTTTAAAATCCTACACACTAAAGGTGGTCACAATATGAATAGATAGCTTCATTAAAAAAACTGGCAGCTTTTTTTTTTTAAAGAATTTAAGATCAACTTTACATGACATGTAATAGGGAATGCAGCTTCCCATATAATATATTCATTCTTTGATTAAAATTAGACATATTCAGTAAGAATTTCATAGATTTCAATAAATTTCTTTGATTTAAATATTTTACTCAAGGATGAGCAAAGCATATCTTTAAACATGCAAAACAGGTAAAACCCATTACACAAAACACACCAGCTTATGTGTCAACCAATCATATCATAAGAACACACATATTTAAATAATTCCTCCCTAACAATACAATTGTTTACCAATGAGATTTGATGTCCTGTCTCTGATTCCACAGATGGTGTGGTAGATGAACTGTCTGTAACCATGGAAACAGAACTAACAACAGATACTGACTCTACCATACCATATAGGTCTATCACAGCAAATACATTCTGTAAAATAAAATAACAGAAACATATAAAACAATGTGATATCACTTTGACAAAAAATATAAAATAAAATAAACAAATTTTACTATAATTATGTTTGATTATTCCCATCTGTTGCACATACAGAGCTACATGTTTGAAGGTAATCTATTACAATTAATCAATATGTATACTGCTATTATCCCAATCTTCAATTTAAAGACAGATTGTATATATAAATTGTGAAATATGTTCACTATAAATATCTTATAAAATCTATGTTTGCAAAAAAGATTCATGACCATAGCAAATTACACAGAGTCATTTTGAACCCTTACATAACTTGAAAAATGTCATGAAAGGCTTAAGTCAGGCTTATATCAGATTATTTTTGTGTCAACATCAACACTGTCCAACATGTAAGTCTACGACTATATTCCAGGTTTTTTACAAGGAGAAATATTATAAAGTGCCATCAAATCCCAGCATATGTGCTGATAGCTTTGTAACTAAGATAGAGGTCACTTCTTTCAGAAATCTACTCAGTATCCCAGGATGAACTTACTTTCAAATCAATGAATGTATATATTTTGGTTGCAATGAACATTTCAACATACTATGTGTTACAAAGTACCTGAACTCTTATCTCTTATTTAACTTTCATCATATCATAATCTAGTTAATCTGCTACAAACCTTTTCAGTTTTGTGAATTTACCTAAAGGATTTAAGAGCACTTTTCATTAGAAAAAGCCCCTCAAATTGGTTACAGAAAAGATGCATGTAAGTCATTTTCCATTTTATCGGCATGGACACTTCAAAAATACTAATATCTATGAATACTCTATGAATGCTCCCCCTTTCGTTATTGTTTTGAAACCATTTTTCTTTTTTTAGAAACAGTGACCTTGACCTTGAACCCAGAGAGTCCAAAAGATATCCAGACCTGGGTTTTCACATAAAGTTGCTATATTGGAAGTTTGAATACAATATCTCATTCCAAACTCAAGTTACCATCAAGCTGCCATAAACTTTGTTTGTTTGTTTCATTTTACGCCTTTTCCCAACAGTATTTCTGTCATATAGGCGGGTAGTTTCCTAACCATCAGTCCTGGAAAGTTACACCAGGACTAGACTACCTTCCTCCACGCTAAACTACCAAAGCATCTCCCGGGGATCAGACCCACGCCAGAGAGGTAACTGGATTAGAAGTCATTGACTCTAACCCCTTGACCACGGAGGCGGTTAAACTTTGTGTTTTCACATAAGTTTGAATACAATATCCCATTCCAAACTCTAGTAATCATCAAGCCGCCCTAAACTTTATTTGTGGAAATACGATAAACCTTTTTTAAATAAGAAACACTGAATTTTAGCAGAATATTACCAATCATGAGGTTAGACTACTCATGACCACAAGCTTTGAATTACCTTTGGTATATTAGATGCAGCTATTCCAAGATTTTCACCATTCAGATATAAATGCATGGTACCATCATGACTTCTACCAATACCAACCCGGTTACCAACCTGTAACATAAACAAAGTAATACCCAATCTTTTCATTTTTGGGGTTATTTAATTTTTCATAATGAAAATAATTAATTCTGGCAAAACCAGGTGAGGGAATGATCTGAAAATCTGTACAAAAGTTATTAGTTCAGACATGCACATCAAATGGTACACAAATCATCAAATGGTACACAAATCCAGAAAAAATAATCATTTACAGTCCTATCATGTCAAAAAAAAAACAAATGACGATTTCTTATGCATTAAAGTAAAAATAAAAGAATTGTAAAGTTTTATTTTTCAATTCACAAAATTTGCAACATCTACATTAATGGCAATACAAAAGAAATAACAAACCAAAACAAAATTAATTTCCTTCTCTTGAAAGTAATTTTACTTTCTTAAGAAAATTACCAAAAAAAATGCTTTAACTCTACCTCAAGTCTTTGCAAGGACGGAGTGTAGTTCTCTTTTATTGTTACACCAGACTTCTTCACATCTGATCCAGAAATAATCCACGTTGGCTTTGATGTCAATTCTAATGAAGTAAGAGGAACGGCCGACACTGGCGTTGTATCAGATATCGCCATAGATGTCAAACCGATGCGTAATGATCCGGACCACTGTTTACAAAGTTTCTCAATTTTTATTTCAAACACTTCGTCTTTTTTCAAAGGATCAGAACTAAACACTAGACAGTGATTATAATTGTTAGATCTAGAAGCAGTTCTACCATTAGATGTAAGCTGTATATTCTTCCCACAACAATGACTGAATCTGTGACATTCTGAAATAATATAGTCATATATGAACCTTTAACATTTACCACACTAATTTTTTTTAATTTAGGAAAGAAATTTACATAAGTCTTTGAATTCCTTTTCAATCCTGTATTATTATATCATGTTGTTGTACATATCTGTATAGGTTTCAAGCATATGAAATAATTACTGTTTATACCAAATGGACATAAATTGGAAAATTTGAAAATTTCTAAACATGTACGGACTGAGTAGCAAAAAGTACAGACCATAATCAGATGGCATGTATGTGCTGAGTAAACTTGGTCTGCACTGGTCACATTGTTAAATTTGATTGCTACCTAATATTCATCAAAGGCAGTCAAGTAAAAATATTGGCTTTTATTCCCCTAAATTTAACCATAATCTGCAGACTTTGTGATATGGATTTCCTGGCTTTGAATTTGGGAACAGTTTACTCAAAGCAGGGCTGCCAACAGCAAATTGCAAAATCAGCGGAAAATACGCCGGGGGTCAAGGGGGCTGCGCAAGCCCCCTTTGCAGGTCCAGGGGGACCAGGGGGCGAAGCCCTCGGAAGCTCCTGGATTCTGATGATTTGGTATGCCCTAAAATCAATTTCCTGGACTCTAAATTTGACAAATATACGACATTTTGACGCATTTCGACAACAGACAAGAGCGACAATGTAAACTGTAATTTGATTGGTTATTCTAAAATAGAATACCGGAAAAGACTCGATATGACCAATGAGAAAAGCGCTTACAGACCTACCATAGGCGGCTAGCGTAACGATAAAAGCCGAAGCGTGCCGGTTTTTGGGTACTGTATAAAATATGACGAATGAATTTATTGTCTTTGTCGAATTTACATCGATCTCAAAAATGACCCAGGAGCTCACGAAATCCGCGGATTTCCGCGGATCCGCGGAAAATCGGCAGCCCTGTCAAAGTTTAAAAAAGTGCAAAAAATTAGTATCTAACAGTATAGAATAGCCTGACCTTAAGGTTATACAACTTTTCCCCCCAAGATCAGTCTTGAATCTTAGGATTTTCATTGGACAATGTACATTCTTGTTTCGTTTCTGGCCGATGAAATACCCTAGATCTGAGTTTGAGCTCGGAAAATTTCTCATTATCCTTGGACCCTGGTTACACTGCAAGGATGTACAGCCTGACCTGACTGGTGGCAAAGGCTAAATCATGTGTGGTTCCAGCAAGTTAAGGATTAAAGAGGAATACCTCAATTTTTTATGTCAATAATTTCAAATTCATCAGTTAAGATAATTTAACTTGTTCTAATTCAAATGAAATTCACATGCATATTTAAAGAGAATATTTAAATAAAGTATACTAGTGTTATAACTACAACTCATGCTTACCTGCTGAGCTAACTGGAGAATTAAAATTTGGATGTTCTACTATAGTTCTATTTATAGTATTATTATCTGTTGGCATTATGCCAGAACCACTAGTTATGGACACCTGACCACATTGTCCGTACAGATCTATAACTGCCCATACTCCTGTAATAAACAATAAAATTATGTATAGACCTTCACATAGAATAACATAAATGAAAAAACAATGATTGATCTTTAACAACTCTAAATTTCTCAAATCAAATCCAGTCAACTTATAAAGCAGTAAGCCTCCAGATTCATAATAATTTTCATGACAATTTTGAAAAAAAACAAAAAACAAAAAAACTAGAACTGCCACTGTCATGGCGTGAATACCCCCGAATACCACTTTGTCAGAATCAACAGTGGCCATTTAGAACACAAGAAAAACCACCCTGCCAAATCTCAGGTTACTAAGCCAGTGCATTGCTAAGATATGTATTCTCCATGCTTCAAATGTGAAAATTTTAAAATAAAGTTTTTTAGTCAAGGCCCCTGTGACCTTGACCTTTGACGCAGTGACCTCAAAATCAATAGGGGTCATTTACTAATCATGACTAACCTCCGTGCCAAATATGAAGACTGTGGGTCAAAGGAATCTCAAGTTATAGGGCGGACAAGGTTTCTTAAGTCAAGGTCCCTGTGACCTTAAAGTTATATTCCTGGTCAAATTCATCAAAACAGATTGTCAAATTAACGCCTTATTGTTATCAAATGCATTATTTAACTAGTATTGACAAAGTTTTCCAACTTAGAAACGCTCTCCGTAACATTTCTGACCATTCTAAAAAATGCATTTTCTTATTTGACTGGGTTAGTCAAATAAGATTTATATTTTGGCGGGAAGCCCTTCGATTATTTCCGTGAATGTTCGGATCTGAGTCACTTGATATGATTTACCAGACCAAAATAATGGCGGACAATACGAAAGGTGTGTCACGTATACGAGAAATAAATTTTGAGATTGGAAAAGGAAAAAGCTAAAAGTGGAAAGAAACTGTGATTTAATTCAATCAAGGATATACTCCGGTAGTGATTCAAAGCGAAGAAAAGTTCTAATCAAAGGGCTGCAGCTCTATGGTATTTTCTGATTTTTGCAGACTATCTGTATGTACTTTCCTGTATAAGTTTATTTTTATGTACTATAATTCATCTTACGCAGCGACAGCGTTTTGATTTTCTTCTATAACAGTTTGAGATTGATACATATGGAATTTTGCATGAAAAAAAAATAGAATTGCCTCGACTAGGATTTGAACCACAGGCCTCTCACACCATCAACGAGACCGCTTACCTCTGCACCACGGCGAAGTTATACATATGTACCTTGAATAAAAACGAATACATTATGTAATTCTAAATTGAGAATTTCCATTTCGTGTTTGTAATCCTTATTAATTTCGAGGTATTTTGTTCACGATTAACCTGTTGTTTAACACTGATGAAAATAATTTAGCGAAAATCTTCTCGCCAAAACAATCCGACATGTATATATTCCACTACTCGACAGTCAGATTTATTTGTGTACTACGCTCTGGAGTATTCGGTAATCGACATAGCTAAAAATAGCATTTTCATTGATTAAAATGATATTCATGATAATCCGAAGCTTTACGGAAATAGCCGAACATTTTTCATTGGGTAAAAAAGATATTCATCCGCGAAATTTGTGATTGTAAACTCATATTTCTGTTGACTAATCTAAACTTTAAATGCACTGTAATTCGTTAAATGCCTACATTAAAAATTATTCTTTCTTTTAAATTGCTGGTTTTTAAGCAGTTTTGAGTGAGAACTACTTTGCGTTGTTAGGACTGTGAGGAAATTTTGTGTTAGACCGTGGATGTTAGCTATGTATTTACTGATCTTACGATCAGAAAATACAAAAAGGGTAATTAAAACCAAAAGCGACCGTGAAGTTGTTATCTTAATTCTGATTGACAGGTGAGGTGATCATCGTTTTTGTTTGCATTTAATTTTTTCTTGGTCTTAGATCTACTTATAGAAAAATTTCACCTACCAATATATAAACACAGATATTTCATTGTTATTATGTTGTAGGGATGGTTTGACTTATGTATATGATAGTTAATTTAAGCTGGCAGATCTCATCGTTGATGTACAGTTTTTCAGTTCATCTTATTTATTAGTGTAATTTCGTACGAATTAAACCTTGTTATCGTAGGTTAATGATAAAAGAATCAGCGTGATGCCTAATTGACTCCTTTATCTTATATTTTATGGGTATGTTCATTGTAACATTGGTAATATCGTTTAAGATGGCCAATCACTATCTTTTAAGAATCATTTAAGACAAAACAAAATTATATTTTGAATAACTTTTATTTTCCAATCACATTATACTGTGCTCCTCTTAGTTCACGGTACTTAACACTTTAAAACAGTAAAGAACACAAACAATAAACTTACACTACAAAAACTGTCATAAACTGTATCATTTAGTCATTTTTCTGCTATATGACACAAGGAAACAACAATATATTCAATCAAAATTAGTTTTAATTTGTCAGATGTAAACAGTGTGTCCACAGACACGTGACATGGGGTTTGGAGCTCAAAACGCCTTTAAAATCCAAATAAAATGCATATTTGTCAATCCCAGCACATGTACTGATCACATATATCAAAAAAACTTAATATAAGCCGTTTTGAAAAAATTTCATATTTCAACATCTATAATAATACACATTATTATAGATGTTGAAATATGAAATTTTTTCAAAACGGCTTATATTAAGTTTTTTTGATATATATGATCAGTACATGTGCTGGGATTGACAAATATGCATTTTATTTGGATTTTAAAGGCGTTTTGAGCTCCAAACCCCATGTGTCTGTGAGTGTGTCGGCCATTTTGAAAACAGTATGTCATCATTTACCTCGCGGTAATGGTGTTTTATTTCAGTTTTTTCACGTTTCAGTTCAAATTTCTTTAAGTTATTTTGCATAATTTTAAATATTAAAAGTATATTAACATTGTAACTCAAAATTTATTTTTTCAACAAACAAGAACATTTAGAAAATGATGATTGTTTCAGACGTATGCACAATTTTAATGGACTATTGTTGTTTTTTGCAGAAGTTTGTAAAATGTTGTTCAGTTTTACGTAAAATTCTATAGATTTAAATTATTTTGCATAAAACCTTTGTTGTTAAGGTGTTTGAATAAAATATGTCAATTCTGACCAATTATAACACTGGTCACATGAAAATATGCCATTACCGTGAGATAAATGATGACGCGGAATTAGTGATGTTGAGTATATTGTTTTTTACTGTAAGCTGTACTGTATAGTAACTACAATGCTGTGAAATAGATTAGCCACATGTGTCTCAAAAAGGGTTAGAACTATTGACTAGCAGAACAGGCATTTCTTCAAAGCATGTTCAACTATCAAGGGTAGTCCTATAAATGTGACGTCCTTTGATTTTGAGATATTTTTGCTTTTGGGCAACCTTGACCGACATTTAAGCAATAACAAGCCCGTAAGTCTGATATATTGATCTACTATCCAGGGTTGTCGAATCTTCAAAGAAATAAAGTAGAAAAAATAAAATGTTGTCTGGAAAATCGCACTAAAATCAATATTTTTGTCTCATTTGAATCATTTTTGCAGTAAAATTTCAGCATTTCACAATTTGAAAAATAATCGTGGACAATAACCATAATTGTGCTGGAAATGTTAGATAATTCTTATTGACAAATGACAACCCTTCTTCCTTATAAGCTGTGCAGCAATTCATGTATTGTAATTGGTTTGAATAGTCAAGATTTTAGGCTATGGTACTAGTATGCTATATTTTCAATTACAGAAATAAATCAATTTCATCGTCATCATGTGTTGCAATACCACTACCACTACCAGGGACATCAAAGATGACCTGCATGGACTTCAGTGCATATGCAGAGGAGAGTAAGTACACCATTTTTGTTGAAAGTGACAGGTTATAATAATACCTTTCAAAATTGCTATATAACTATATACTTGCATAACTAATTTACTTATATAATTCATATAAAAACTGATTAATCTTAAATACAGCTGAATTCATGTTTTTTTTATTAGTTTATTGAACCAATTAATGGATATATACATGTCAACATGTGATCCATATATATCATGATCAGATATTCATATGATTTAAATATTAAACAATAATGACATTTTTTAAGTGGCATATAATACTGTATTAGAAGAAGAAGAAAAAAGCATGCATTACATGGTTAATTTTGGTCCAATTGAAAAGATTTTTGGTGTCATCTTAAATGATGAGTTTGATATTTGTATGACTCCATAATATTATTATAGGTAATTGTTCACTGAGGTGAAAAAATAATAGATGGTCATTATAGGTCTTAAATCCACTTGTGAAAAAATATATATGAGCCGCGTCATGACAAAACCAACATAATGGTTTTGCGACCAGCATGGATCCAGACCAGCCTGCGCATCCGCGCAGTCTGATCAGGATCCATGTTGTTCGCTTACAAACCCTATAACAAGTAGAGAAACTGATAGCGAACAGCATGGATCCTGATCAGACTGCGCGGATGCACAGGCTGGTCTGGATCCATGCTGGTCGCAAACGCACTATGTTGGTTTTGTCGTGACGCGGCTCATATATGGTTTTTGGAAAGGATTCTCTTATATAGTCAATTCTCAGACCATACAACAAAATAGTTACAGATTCCTCAAAAGTGGAGTATACTTTCTTAGTTACAATCAAACATCATGAATTACTAATTTCTAGCTTTTTTTTTTTTTCATTCTGTCAGATTGCTATGTTGGCATACAATTGCATTATTTAAATATTTTGAAATGTATCAACATGAAACTTGAAAGACTTGCTTATCAGGACAAAGTGTAATTGTTAAACAGGGGAGCATACATGTTCTTATGAAAGCAGTCATTGAATTTAGCTCTGGCCCGGTGGCCCATGGCCAGGGCCAGTGTAAATTTTAAGAAAATGTAGTTAAATATATAGTAGAATAAATTCAAAACTGGAATTGGGGCCAGTGAATTCAAAATCTTAAATTCAATGACTGTGAAAGCAATATTTTTTTAAGTTATATCCCTTTTAAACAAAGAATTTTAAATAGA